CAGAGCAGATGAGTCATCGCTCGCAACGAGCAGAGCAGATGAGTCATCGCTCGCCGCGGGCCGAGTGCCCCCCCCCAAATACGTTAGCACCACATAAAGTCCGGTGCTCCAATCGACATCGTTAACACGAGTTAAGAAAACGCCGCGCCCATCGCCGCGCGTAGTGAGCGGCAAAATCGATTCTCTTGCCCGTCTCACGATAGGCAGAACAATAATAGCAGGGCCGTGCTCTTCGACAAACTTCCCAATGTATATGCATTTCTCCTTTCTATTCGGCGTTGACCAATTTCCCTTAGAATGTACTGGGAAGGGGAATCTTTTATCGTTATTTCAAACACTATCTCGGCGTGGAGGGAACAGAAGGGCAGCCTGACGCGTGGTCCCCTCCCCCTTCCAAATACGTTAGCACCGTGTTGTTCGATTACAAAACTGTGTTTGGATGATTCATCCAACAGATCTCGCTCGAATTCAGTAGCATTCATAATTCGGCATCAGAAACAGCGGCGAATTCATTTTGATCGTGTATTTACTTTGAGGAAGTCTACTTAAGCAACCTTAGCTTCAATGGTAAAGATCTCCAGCGCTTGTGTTGGGCTGAGCGGAGCCGGGCCATGCCCACATTTTGTTTGTCTGCATGTAACTATAAGGAGGGGCTATAGGAAAGCGTGTTTTGCCAGGCTTCCAGATGGGGTTGCCTGGAGCCTATCATAAACTTGTGGTGATCAGGTGATTCGCAGACATGATCAGTTTACACCCACTTCTGGCAAAAAGGGGTGGGGCATTTGCAAAAGAGTCCTTAGGTCGGAAGTAAGTGGTAGATATCTAAAAAAGTCGACAAATGTCAGTAAAAAAGGCCACATCTTCACCAGTTTGATTGACGAGTCGTTCAAAAGAGGTGCCAGGTGACTGCATGTATCCCGCGGCAATGAATGATCATCAGAGACAAGAAAGAACATTTTTTCCAGATGATGAAGTGCGATTATCGTTGGCTTCTTCTTACCATGAGATCTTGATGCAACACGAGGAGAAAGCAGAGCTTCTGCAGCCGTTTATCGAGTTGATTCGTGGAGGGTCACCAGAAGTAGTAGCAAAGGTAGGTTGAACTCCGATTTCACTGCGAAAGAGTGGTCCCATGCTTCTTGTCGAGATCGTGCTGCGGCCAAAAGTCCAATTCGAATCGATTGGTTTTGCAGTAAAAGTAAAACATCTAGCGCTGGCGGTTAAAGCACTTATTTGAAGACCAGCCTGCGAGGGCAAACTATGAGTGGTGGGCAGAGTATGGGGTGATTCTGTGAAGAAAAAAGTCAAACAAAAGAAAAGCGTCCGGAATAAGATCTTTGTTAAGTCCAAGCAGTACGAGCATACGGCCAAGGAAGCGTGAAGACGCTTCGCAAAAAAGAAGCAGGCAGTAATCGGCGAGATATGCCAAACCTACCGCCAGACACCGATTGCGGGATGAAATAAAAGGGGAGGAGGAATATTCCCAGAAGGAACCCGGCAATAGTTGCAGGTCTCTGACTCTCCCGTCGAGCATCCGCGAAAGTGGTGCATCTAA